GAATGTTTGAAGTATAAAAACAGTTTCATAAAAACCTAAAGAATGACTTTCAGTCTCTGCATTAAGTACGTATCTGTCAGTGCCAGGTACAAAGCAAACATTCCATCAGATAGGGCAGCTCTCACACTGGTGGGAATGTAAACTCTATACATAGCATTACACAAGCTGTGACTCTGTTGACTGGTGTCATGCATTAGCTTTGAACCCAGGTGATCTCCGGATGCCTCTGAGACCTGAACCCCACCAAACCACACATGCTCACCTGTTTCTTACTGTGCCCACAAGCGCACCAGGCATGGGGTTTCCCAGCCAACACTTTCACCTTGTAGGGCAGCCGGGCTGCAGGGATGGGCTGTGTGGACTGTTGACAGTACTGCACCTGGAGACACATGTGACACACAGCACTGAGTGACTGAAATATTGACGTACACAGTTCATGGACATAAAAAAAGCAAGTCTGACATTTAACCAGCAGGCTACTGATACAATGATGCAAAATAACTGACACACCAGTAGACCATCACTGACTTCTGACTTAACTCGGCAAATGACAGACCACAGGGCAAATGACTAGCTGTAATTAGGGACCGTCTCTAAAGGGGGAGGCGACAGTGTTGCTGTGGGTAGAACAGTCGTCTCCCAACCGGAAGGTTTAAAGTTCGAATCTCGGTGCCTGCAGTCCACATGTCGAAGTGTCCTTGGGTGAGTATGCACGCAGCAGCCCGGGCCCCTCGGCTCCAAACATAATTTTGTTGTACATGTCACAATGACAATAAATAAATAAAGCTTCTAAATTGCCTTCAATGTGGCTCAAACAGCTGTGGTGTGTCTCTTTTGTCAAAAACCTTTCCATATTTTGTTCCCTGGGTTTTAAAAGCAACTACGCTAAAAAGCTGAGTCATGGATATGACATGCCACCCGTGCAACATCAGGGAAGGTTTGTTCTGTACTGCACAGCAAATCTGACAACAATCGATAATGTCTTTTAAAGGTTAATGAGGATTAGCCTCGTCGAATGTCAAACTGTTTACACCACAGTCCGCAGGCTTATTAGCAAAACACAGAGGTGTATGAAAGAGGGACTGCCATGTTTTGTATTTGTGTATTTAAAAAAAAAGCACCGATACACTACATACAATCAGGCTTCTACACTACACTACACTACACTACATAGCGTATGACTTTCTTATGATTGCACACTGAAATCCTGTTACCTGTTGTGTAGGCTGTCATCGGTAAAGGCAACAGGACCTACCCTATGGCAACACGCACGCCGATTGAGCTACACGGCTTGCCATAATAAATGCACCCAGGTTGAGGGACTCGGTCTCGGGTAGATAAGCGCTCACCTTCGAGAACAAACCAGGCTGAGGTCGTATGAAGGTCTGCGCGCGCACGCTCCGCACCGCGACTATAAATCGGGTCGTGTTCATCTCTGTCGCAAGGTCTGAATGGAGAGAGTGGCAATACTGCTACTTGCACACTAGAGAGGTCTTAACAATCAGCTATTTAGGAGAACCGGGACAGCGTTCAATCACAACTTCCAACATGGCCACTGTACCGCGATTACAAACATAACGACGTGCTGAGGCCACGTGCCACTCCTTCTGATGGGCGGAAGTATGCGGGCGGCGGCAGCAGGGGGCAGTCACGAACAACACGGACATGTTCCAGACTCCACAGGAAGTCACAGAAGTACATCCTACTTCTGAATTTTTTGTAAAACACTTGTTTCACTCCCTGTTATCCATACTTCATGCAGTCTCCACCAAATCCCCTATACCCCCTATTTGGAGCATCCCGGAAACAATAGTACGACTCGTTCTGCAATAGTCCTTACTGTTGTCCTGCTATTGGCCTCTGAAAACGAGGGGGTGGGGTCGAAAAGTGTCTGTTGCTATAACTCTCCATTAAAATGTCCAAATGTAGCCAAAATAATATCCTAGGTGCAGGACCACACTGAGCGGGCTTGTAAAATTGTGTTTACCTTCGCCACTCGGGGCGCTACAGGCTTGGTTTATCTTTGAACCATTATAACTGCAGAAACACAGGAATCTCAACCAAATTCATTATGTGCTTCCCCATAGAATTTCAAGCTCAGTCGACATTGGGAGGCGCTACAGTTAGCCAAGATATATCAAAATCTCACTTCCTGTTCGATAAGATAGAACACATCAGTGGATTGTTATATTTCAACCAAACTTGGGGACTTGTGTACCTAAGGGTCCTAAAGAAGTGTGCTGAATTTCATGCACCCATGCCAATAGGGGTCGCTACAGTGAATGGCAATGCCTACCTCAATTTAAAGCTAGCACTGTCACATGTAGGGGGGTCATTCAAAGACACACTGACACTACACACATTGCCCTACTTGGTGTAAAGTAACATTTTCATTTGATGCAGTTTTTTTAGATGACAGGAGATTAAATTTGATGTGTTTTTGACCGTTTTCAGCTCGGCCTCTCCCCTTTCATTGTCACTCACCGTGGTCCCACTTACATCAGTCATTCCAGATCTCAATTATACAAGTGTCTGGCCCTATAATTGTTCAAAAAATCATTTGGACATCTCTTAACGTTTGTTAATTGGGTACATTTTAGTTTTAAGTCCCTTGTTCAGCCCCTCTGAGATTTTTCTCTCTGATGCTGTTCTGGCAGGATAATGTTTTTGTCACACATGTACCTGAATGTTCTGCGGGTGTAAGAAACATGTCTATGAATTTTAAATTTGGAAGAAAATAAAGTGCTCCACCTTATCTAACGGCATCTGTCACACAGACACACATCGCCACTCCAGCTCTCTGTTATCTCTCTTTGTTCTTCTTCTGCTTCTACTTCTAACCCTAATCCTGTGAACACAATTAGTATATCACCTATAAAGAATGAAATCAGCCCAGGACCAAACTCATTGTGTCACTTGCTGTCTAAAACAGGCCCCTGGACCCAGACATATAAAAGGCCCCTGAGTTATCCAATAGGATTTTTTTTAAAACTTCATTTATTCTGGGCAGGTCCACACCACAGAGAGCCCAGCTCACCTTTTCAGTGGGCATCGTCCAAGTGTGAATGTGTAACTGTATCAATGTAAACAGGGCATTCCT